AAATAAAGAATTTGTCATGTAGAAAGTAGAAAGGCCAGGAGCCCTCAAGTAGAAAATAGAAGTCAAACTTCTGCCAGAGTAACTTACAACTGCTGAACGCTAATCATTCAATAAGCGAAATAGTCAATAAGCACCTCCATCTGAGCTAGCTCACTCGTCCATGAGATCTGAGATCTTTATTAGCCCCATAAAGCAAAAGGAGAAGTCTGTCTTCTCAGATCATCTGTAGCAATGGATGTTGTGAGCCCTCTGGTCAACCTTCTCACCACCATTGTTAATTACATTTTCCCAAGAGTAGATAATGTTGTGAATTTGGATCAAAGCATTCACTCCCTCGAGGGTGCTCTGGTGGAGCTCACAGAAGCCAGGGATGACTTGAAGAAACAAGTTGATCGAGCAGAACTTTTGGGATTAACATGCACTAACCAAGTCAAAGGTTGGCTGGTAAGAGTAGAAAGTGTGGAAACAGAAGTAAGATCCATCACACAAGATGTTGAAAATGGAAGGAGTAATGGTTGCTGTGGAAAGAACTACTGTTCAAGATATAAATTCAGCGGGAAGGTTTTGCGGATTCTTTCAGCAATCAATGACTTGAAGGGAAAAGCGATTTTGGATGTCAACCTTGCTGATGGACTGCTTCTTGTTCCTGTGGTGGAAATACCTACTAGGCCAGCTATAGGGATAGAATTGATGCTGAAAAGTGTGCAAGAATTGCTCAAGGAGGTGAATACTGGGATTATTGGAATATATGGAATTGGTGGGATAGGGAAGACTACCCTTCTGAAGAGCATAAATAATGGCTTTTTGACATTAGAGCATGACTTTGATGTGGTAATCTGGGCTGTGGTGTCTAAAGAACTTGTTGTTGAGAAAATTCAGCAAGCCATTGGGGTGAGGTTAGGCTTGTCTTGGGATGAAAACCAGTTCCAGGAATTGCGAACTTCAAGGATATACAGTGTCATGAGGAGGAGGAAATTTCTACTGCTCTTAGATGATGTTTGGGAAGGGCTTGATTTTGAGAAGATTGGAGTTCCTCTTCCCAGCAGGGAAAACGGATGCAAAGTCATATTCACCACTCGCTCAATGGATGTTTGCAGCGACATGGATGCCAATTGCAAGCTGAAGGTGGAGTTCTTGAATGAGCGGCAATCATGGCAGCTTTTTCATGAAAAGGTTGGGAGACAGATGATGGATTCAACAGTCATTTCAGCTTATGCGGATACCATTGTCAGAAAATGTGGAGGCCTTCCACTAGCTCTAGTCACCATTGGAAGGGCTATGGCAAACAAACAAACAGAAGAGGAGTGGAAGTATGCCATAGAAGTGCTGAACAAATCTCCTTCAGAACTCCGTGGTATGGAAGATGTTTTTACACTGCTTAAATTCAGCTATGACAATCTAGAGAATGATATACTAAGATTATGCTTCTTGTATTGTTCATTATTTCCTGAAGACTATCCAATAGAGAAAGAACAGATTATAGAATACTGGGCAGGGGAGGGGTTTCTAGGTAGCGCTGGTGATGATGTCCATACAATAGGACATGCTATCATTGGTTCTCTCAAAGTAGCTTGTTTCTTGGAAAATGGTGAAGAGGAAACCCAAGTAAAGATGCATGATGTTGTCAGAAGTTTTGCTTTATGGGTTGCATCCGGTGGTGGAAAGAATGGCGCTAAAATCTTAATGCAGGCTAGCTCAGGACTGACAGAAGCACCTGCAGCTGAAAACTGGGAAGCAGCACAGAGAATTTCATTACTGGATAATGAAATCACTGAAATATCTGGAACTCCTGTTTGTCCTCATTTGTCTACCTTGCTGCTACAATGGAACAGCGGTCTCAACAAAATCTCAGAAAATTTTTTTCAATATATGCCCAATCTCAAGGTTTTGGACTTATCACTTACCAGTCTCAGAGAGATACCAAAGAACATTGGTAATCTGGCTGAGTTGCAGCATCTTGATTTGTCAGGAACTAAAATAAGCACGCTGCCTAGAGAATTGGGAGGTCTGGCAAAGCTGAGGCTTTTGGATCTGCAACGCAATCGGTATCTTAAGAGCATTCCACATTCAGCGATAACTGGACTGTCTCGATTGAAAGTACTGAACTTCTATTACAGTTTTGGGGATTGGGAGTTGCAAGGTCTTGACGATGATGATCAAGCTAGGCTCTCCGACTTGGAATCCTTGCAACATCTGACCTCCTTAGGGATCACATTGGCCAATTTATATGCCCTGGAAAGGCTATCTGGTAGCAGAACTTTGCGCAGATGTGTAAAATACTTGTATATAAGGGAGTGCGAAGGCTTTTATAACTTGCAACTATCACACAGTACAGGAGATGGTGAGAGACTACGAAGGCTCAGCATTAACAACTGTCCAGACTTTAAGTATTTGGCAATCATTGATGGGGCTGAGAATAACTGGCTGCCAAACCTTGAGGTTCTTGCCATGCACGGTCTTCCAAGCTTGATATCGGTATGGAGAAATCCAATGAGCAAAGGATGCCTCCGAAATCTTCGTTCTGTCAACATCTGGTACTGTGACAAATTGAAGAACGTTAGCTGGATTTTAAAGCTTCCAAAGCTTGAAATGATTTACTTATTTTACTGTAGGGAGATGGAAGAAATAATAAGCGGAGATCAAGTGGAAGATGAGGATTACCTGAATGCTTTTCCTCGCCTCAGAATCATGTCAATTAGAAAACTGCCTAAATTAAAGAGCATCTCTCAAGAGAATATGTCTTTTCCATCTTTGAAGAAAATTGCTGTGATAGATTGTCCAAAGCTGAATAAGCTACCACTCAAGGCCCATAATGTAGCAGAACTGCCAACTATCTACTGTTACAAGGAGTGGTGGGATGCTCTGGAGTGGGATGATGCAGACACCAAATCCACCTTCCTTCCCCACTTCACATCAGCATGATGGAGCACTTATTGCCTCAAAAGTCTCGCACTTCAGAATCTCCTCTCTGTTAGTGGCTCTTGCTTATAATCGTCATTTCCTTCCGTGCTTGCCCGGCAGATTTGAAGATGCATGATACATCACGAACAAATTACTCCATATGCAATGTCTCTCAAAGATAGGTTCAGAGTCATAATTTCAGTAAAAGTATAATATCCTGAGGTTAAATACCCTTCAATGCTTAAATATCTGCAAGTGCACTTGTTAGCATAAAAAAAGAAATGCAGCAGGAAAATCGGAAACCAATTGTATCAACTCAGAGTAGATTGGAGACAAAAGAAAGTTTCATCCCGAACTCCATTTACTGTTTGCTGCAGTCTGGCAAATGGTGCTTCGTTGAGTTGGCATTGTTGACAACCTGAAGTTCTTTTTCAAAGGGTTTCGTTGCAAACACCCACCCAAGTTCCTGGAGCAGAATCAGCAAAGTCCTGATTTTCCCAAGAATATTTCCATGCTTCCGTACATGCATTGTTAAATTCACGACTTGTATGTAACCAAGATTACGTTAACCCCAGAAGGAAAAAACTAGTCATAATGTAGTTTAGAGGTTTCCTTGAAGCTAACAACTTGCATACGATCTTAATCAAGAGGAACAACCATTACACTACTTACAGGGCAGAGCAAGCAAATTGAGGGCACTTTCGGATTCATAAAAGAGCCCTTTGAAGAATTTCATCATTCACTCTATCATTTTGTTAATTCTGGGATGGGTATCAGTGGGCAAAAAGAGACAGTTAGTGACAAGATAGACTTTGCTCGATTCACGGAAGAGGAGTTCCTCGACTAATTATCAGTTTGCGGGCTATGCTGCTTTTACAATTTTCGTGGAGTGTCAAGCTAGGACTGGAAATTCTCAATTTCAAGCCAGCATTTTCTGCAATACCATTCCTTTTCCCAAGACAAACTAATGCAATGTTTCTACGCTCCTTTAGTTTCTTTAATTTGTTAAGATTTAACTAAGCATTAGTGTGAAAAGGTGCAAAAAATATCGCTAAGATTTAACTAGGAAAATTGTTTGGATGAGTGAATACCATCAAGTATATATGCATTTTGTTAGCTGCATTCTTTTTCAACCCAACCATAAAATACTAATCAGTATCTTACTCAAAACCACAAAATCACAATAAAACTATACATACTTTTATGTGTATCTCAAGCATACACAAAATTAGGACCATATTAAAAAGGCATGAGATATGATATTCTTCGACATGGTTTGTGTTGTATGCTATACTACAAATAATTCTTGATAGTGTGTATGGAAAGGTAATGCTTTTTTTTTTTCTTTTTCTTTTTTGCTTTAAATGATTAAGAAAGGATTGGATGAGATTTAGAGAAAAAAAAAAAAACAATATGCACAAATTATGTTTTGGATTGGAAAAAGTAGATTTCTTAGTTAATTATTGAATATGAATAAATTACTATCTAAAATATGTGGCCATTAACACGTCTAGTAATATTGGTAAATAATAGAATTTTTCTAATCATAGTTAACATAGACACCTCTTTACCAAATATATATATATATATATATATATATATATATATATATATATATATATATATATATGCACATTTATATTACATTCGTTAGCAATTAAATTCTTTTTTTCAATTCAAGTTTCAATTTTGTAAAAAAATAGTTGAACTTTGCTACTGTAAAAAATGGTACTACTTAGATATATATATATATATATATATATATATATATATATATATATATATATATATATATATATTAAAGTAATTGAGTTGTTCTTTGTCACAATGCAAAATTCTAATTTAAAGCATGATACATTGGGCGGAAGTATTGTATCTTTTAGGTATCATATTTTCGAATTAAATTCACTAGAATGGTGAAATAAGTTTGTTTTATCGTTAAATTGTAATAATTTTAAATATTTAAAATGATTCTCAAAGAGGACTATAATCTTCCCATACTACGTACCAGCCATTTGCAAAAGAATTTGTGCAAAATAACGAGGCTAAAATGCAAAAAAAGCAATTTAATGTCAATTCCCAAGTCCCAATTCCCAATTCCAAAGCCCAAACTGGCTACAAGATTCTCTGTTTCTGGTTGTGCTTTGGGGGCATCGGTCCATCGGTGGACAGGATCTGAAAATTACTTGGGTTTTCTTTTTCTATAAACAAACCCAAATTCATATAAAACCCCTCAAAACCCTACATTTTCCAGCCAAGCTACCTGCCCTTATAGCAAATCAAAGCCTCTTTTATCAATTCAGTTTCATCATACATATGTAAGTCCCATAATTCTTTGTATCAATTTTTACACAAAATTTACGTCTTTGGTAACATCCATCTGATTGATGCCTACATGTTGATTGCATTTACATATTTGATATTGTGTTATAGAGAACAATGGTGTTTCTGATTGGTTGTATGTGTTTGATTTTTCCAATGGCAGATTAGTCTCTAGAAAGGAGAAGGAACTTTTGCTTTCAGTATAAGAAATTTCATTCAACATCGAGTTTTTGACGAAGGGTTAGGCTTAGTTTTAAGAATGGCTGACAAAGATTCTGCATCTGGAGCGAATAATGAAAACCCAGATCGAAATTCTGATGAAAACCCTGTTTCTAGCTATAAAGCTTCCCTAGAGAATCTGGTTCAAAGATTCCAAAACTCGAACCCTTTTGATCAGAAACACAAATTTTGGGAGACACAGCCCGTTGGGCAGTTTAAGGATGTTGGGAATTCTAGTTTACCTGAGGGCCCGATTGAACTGCCTACGCCATCGTCTGAGGTAAAACAAGAGCCTTATAATCTTCCGAACTCGTATGAGTGGAGTACATGTGACATGGGGTCTGATGAAGTATGCAATGAGGTTTACGTGTTGTTGACCAATAACTATGTCGAGGATGACGATAACATGTTCAGGTTTAATTACTCGAAGGAGTTTCTTCGTTGGGCTTTGCGTTCTCCTGGGTATTATAGCAGTTGGCATGTTGGAGTTCGTGTTAAGGCTTCGAAGAAATTGGTTGCTTTCATTAGCGGCATTCCTGTGAACATGAGGGTTCGAGATCAAGTTGTGAAAATGGCTGAGGTTAACTTTTTATGCGTTCATAAGAAACTTAGGTCGAAGAGACTTGCTCCGGTTATGATTAAGGAGGTTACGAGGAGGATTCACTTGGAGAATGTTTGGCAGGCTGCTTACACTGCTGGAGTGCTTCTTCCAACACCATTGACTACTAGCCAATACTGGCATAGGACTTTAAACCCAAAAAAACTGATTGATGTTGGGTTTTCCAGGCTTGGTGAGAGGATGACGATGAGCAGGGCCATTAAACTCTACAAGTTGCCAACTTCAACTTCAACCCCTGGTTTAAGAAAAATGGAACTCAGAGATGTTCCGTCTGTGACCCAGCTGCTAAGGAACTACTTGAGCCGATTTTCTGTAGCTCCAGAATTTGATGATAATGAGGTGGAGCACTGGCTCCTTCCCCAAGAGAATGTGGTTGATAGTTACTTAGTGGAGAGTCAAGTGACACATGAGATTACTGACTTTTTCAGCTTCTACACTCTTCCTTCTTCCATTCTTCACAGCCAGGAGTACTCAATTTTGAAAGCAGCTTATACATTCTATTATGTCTCAACAAATACTCCATTGCTCCAACTGATGAATGATGCACTTATCATTGCAAAGCAGGAGGATTTTGATGTGTTTAATGCACTAGATGTTATGGAGAATGAGTCTTTCCTAAAGGAACTTAAATTTGGACAGGGTGATGGCCAACTGTACTACTATCTTTACAACTATAGGCTAAATCAGGCGCTTAAGCCATCAGGACTGGGTCTTGTACTTTTGTAGCTTGATATGTGATTCAGGACAATTATCATGCACCACTGAGCTAAACTTATTTTTGGTTTTTCATTTTGCTATTGATGGAATACTGGATTCTTATTGTCCATTGGGTCCAGAGTAATAAAGGGATTTGTCTGTTACTTGAAGACTGTAAGTTCACTATCTGGGGAATTGCTGGATGCTTGTGGATTATCTTTGAGCTAATAAGTTCACTATCTGTGGACTATCTGTGAACTAATAAGTTCACTGTAAGTTCACTATCTGTGGACTATCTAGGGGAAGATGAAATGATTTTCTATGGTTTAATAGTTTTAAGATATAAGTGTCTTTTCTTTCACATAGTAACTTATAGTAATATTTGCTCTTTTGCAGCAAGTGCACAATTTCTCCTAACCATATACTATGTTCTATGTTCTTTTCTCATGTGGTTGGTCGTAATTTCAGCGAGATAGATTTGATCACTGTCTTTTTTCTCTATTACACATGTTTAAGTGCTTTAAATTTCCACCATTTGACATGTTTTGGAATTTATGTACTATATGTTAGTTTATGTGTTGAATGTTTTAACGTTTTTCTGCTTTTGCTTTGCAGTTGTGTAACTTTTTCTGTTTGACAGCGTCATTGCCAATTGTAATTGATTTCTGTTGCTCTCACTTCCTTTTGCTTTGTATTAGTGTGTTGGTCCTTCCATCTTTAAGGATGGCATACAGTTTTCTTGAATGCTTGGACCAATGGCCTTGTTTCATTTTGACAAAAGGTAAAATGCTTTTCTTCTAAGGGCTGAACACTCTTAACTGTCTCTGGTGAAAAATGAAGAAGAAAAAGAAACAAATAAAAGGTAATACAATTCTGTGTCATTGTTGGTTATGAGGATGTGGGAGAAAGAGGAGGAAGATGGTCAAAAGTTGTCACATGTTGGTTGTTGAGTGCCAAAATTGGATTGGGTCCAAGGTGGAAAATGCTATGCTTCTTCTAACTTGTTTGTGATGTTAACATGAAAGCTGTAATGCTTTTGGTCTGATTTTGGTAGACAATTACTGGATTACTGACAGTATAAATGGTTATGTGTTCTTTTGATGGTGTATTGGCAAAACCTGTCAGCTCCACTCGTTGAAGAGGGATCAGTTTTGTCGAATTCTATTGTTTTTAGGGCTTATATGCATGTATATTTCTGAGTACTCAATGCAACAGATTTGTGCCTTAGTCGCTTTGTGTATTCCACTGCAGTTGATGCTACTGACATAGCCATTTACTTTTGGGATTGGGGTCTGGTTCTATACCTTGTGTTAAGCCTTTCCATTCTTGCTTTGCATTTCTCTCTCTCAGGCTGACAGAAGCATCTTATGGTTGATGTTTTAAAGGATAGATTACTTGCTTGCACATATCTTTAAATTTATCCGTTTGCAATTTAGAATTGACCTTCCGTTGGCATTCTTTACTGCATCTTGGGGTGAGGCTGGGTTGTTGCATGTAGATCTGCTATGCCCAGAGTATGTAAAATGCTATGCCTTCATTCAACTTATTGGTAATGTTCTAGGAGGAGGATATCCAGACTAATATACTGTCCTATGCGCATAAATAACTATTCTAAGGGTTGTCAGAGCGGCTCCCATAATTTTCAGGCTTCAACTATCCCATAATGAGAGGCAGCCTCTTCTAGTAACCGTGTTACATTCTATACTTAATGCCAAGGTTTGGTGTGGTTTCTTTGCAGCTGATAAATTATTTCTTTTGCGCAGGCCACAAGATGGTTTTGTTATCCGTACATGCCCTAGAATGTTAGGGGAAGCAACTTTGATCTGTATCCTAATATTATCTGACATAGGAGTATCAAGGAAAACATGTTAGTGAAAGAGGGGAAGTGATATTTGCACTTTTCAATTAGCCTCTAGCACTCCTTGGAGGCTATATTTTTAGTAGGTGAATTGAAGTTCAAAAGGCTAAATGAGAAGCGTAGATATCAATTCCTATGAAAAAAAGCTACTGCCTTATATGTGGCCTGTTTGGAAGGTGAGTTTTTTAGGTGTTTGTATAAAATTTTACTGTAGGTAACTGTAGAAGTTGTAGAAAAATTTTTTAAGATGAAATTTTTTTTTTCTTTTCCTTTTTCTTTCTTTCTTTTTTTTTTCTTTTCCTTCCTCCCTTCCCACTTCTTTTCCCTTCCCCCTCCCCTGTTCCCTCTCCCGAACTCTGCAAACACATACGAACTTTTTTTTTTTTTTGCTTTTCTCCTCTCCCCCCCTCCCTCTCCTCCCTCCCTTGCCACCCCTTTCCTCCCCTCTCCCCCGCCACCCCGCCCTCTCCCTCCACCGCCACCCCTTTCCTCCCCTCTCCCTCTCCTCTCCCCTCCCTCTCGCACTCCGACGCCAGAGAAAGGCCGGCCATGGATTTTTTTTTTTTTTTAGCTTTTTCTCTCCCCCTCTTCCCCTCTCCTTCCCCCTCCCTTAGATGCGATTTGTGACTAGACTGCAAAGGGGGAGAGGGATCTGGCCCCCTCCCCCTCTTCCTTTGTGATCTGGTTGCGCGACCAGATCGCAACTAGCGGGAGGGGGAGGATGGCGGGGGAGGGAGAGGGGAAAAGGGGAAGGGAGGAGAGGGGGTGAAGGAGAGGGACAGAAAAAAAAAAATTTTTTTTTTTGAGGTGATCGGCGCCGGAATAGGTGGCCGGGGCCGAAAGAGGTGGTGGTTGGCGTGGTGGGTTGGGTTGGGTGAGGGAGGAAAAAGAAGAAAAGTTGAAGGGAAATTTTTTGTATATTACATTTTTTAAGTGTGTGGCATGGAGACTATAAGAATGGCCTTAATGCATTACCAACTACCATGCCTTTTTCCATTCCTGAATTAAACTGCCTCTGCAATAATCACAATACCTATAATCACTTGCGCTGCTTTCGTGCAGTTCCGAGTCAATCTTGCCCTGTACCAGCAAAGAAATGAATAGGCCTTTCACTCTAATAATCTAACATAGAAAGCTTTCGGCATTTTGCGAGAATACAAATTAGAGGACAGATGGAGATGGTGGGTGGTTCCAGCAATTTTATAAGCTGCTGAAAATTATTTTCAGTAATTAACCCTGCAAGAGACTGTTGAACCCATTAACCCTGCAAGAGACTGTTGAACCCAACCCACCTCCACGTACAATGTCGAAGAAAGCATAGGATACATTTGTTCTCAGGTGCTCATTCAGCCAATATCCTGATGCCCAAGTAAACAATACTACCACCTTTAACCAATTACAACATGCTTCTATATGTTACTTGTTTAAGATTTGGTGCAACGCATGCGAAACAGTCATTGGTTAAAGATCTTTCTCCTTCAAAAACAGCATATTTAGAAAACTAATCTAAAAAATAGGAAGAAAAACATCAATGAGGTCACTTAATCAGTTTCCAATCAAACATCCACAAAGTTTGACATCTTCCAAGGGAAAAAGAATTTAAATCAATAATGAATGAAGTAAAAACCTTCCAAAATTGCGTTACCAAATTTCCAAAAAAAAAAGGTGATTTCTCACAATCAGCACAATTTGGCAACCTTTTATGTCTAATATTGGTTGATTCAGAACCATCCTGGTTTTACTTTAGTTACACGGCCAGGACCCTTCATAAACTGGAGCATTTACAAGTTTCAGATACAGGAGCTTGCATGACCGGAGACGAACAAGACCACGTACTCTATGCCACTAGCACCATTTCACCATGCGAACCTGGAAAAATTGTATAATACATGTTCAAAGAAAATAAGTAAAGAGTATTAGTTGAATATCAAGGAACATCTAATGCGGATTTTTGAAACTTACTTCTATCAAAAATCTCATGCGCCAACTGAAGCATAGATTCTGCATCTTCAGACATCCTTGAGACCCTTTCTGATTCCTTCACAGCTTCAGCTACAACAAATGATTTATTTTCTGCTTCAGCAATTGTGTATGCAGCACTTACAGTTGCTTCTTCAACCGTATCAGCGAGATGGCCAATGCTTTGAGCTTGCCTAGGCTGGACATCTCTGGGTTTTGGAACAGGAGTTTTTGACCCCTCTAAGAGATCTTTCTTGATTCTGTAACTGTTCTGAACCTGTGCCAGTAATTACAGTGTCCAATGAGCAAATCCTCCCATTAAATTATGAACTTTTTGTATACAACAGCTTCTATTTATCCATATCTATTACAAAAAGCAGGGTACAGGGATGGGCCAGGAGTCACCAATATGGACCTTTCTCTTTCATTTGTCTGCCAATTCATGCAACCGTAAAAAGAACCAAATTCACTCATGTAATGATGAGTAGAATTTTGAGTTTTGTCAATGCTGTCTGGTAACTAGTGTTGTATGAGGGATAACTTAAAGGCAATTTCTGGAGTTGCCTACGTGGATAAACAGAAAATCTGTAATAAACAGAAAATGCCAACTGCATTACAAAATTCTTTTGACTAAACTCATAACACTGTTGGGCATTAATTAAAAGACATTTATACATTTTGCAATGTGGACCAAGTAGAACCAGAAAAGTAACTCACTCAAGACACCAAATATGAATTATGAAATGAACACCAGAAAAAATGTATTTACACAGAATTCTGCAAATGTGTTAATCATCATATAACTTACCTTTTCAAGTTTTTCTTGTGCAACAAGCCTTCTTAACCTCGCACTTATTAACCTTCTGAAATTTGGGGGCACCTCATGTCTTTGCTGCATAATAATCATGAAAATACAGAAAATAAGTTTTCTTTTCAGGCATAAATTTTGCCTAAGAAATTTAATGAAAACCAAGTGGATGTTACAGAACAACAGAATTTGAGCCTACACCAGAGACTGTGAAGACCCATGTGCCACCCATAATTAGATAAATGATGCTTCTCATTCCAAATCTTTTCATATCTGACTTCTCTTTCATTTTATTTTATTTTATTTTTTGTTTGCCAGGGGTTTGGGGGTTCAAAGAAACAGCAGTGAAACGTACGAAATTGTCCAAACAGAACAAAAAAAAGATCGGCTTAGAGATTTTCAGCAACAAATCAAGTAAGCATTCCAAGTCCACCTGTAACTAAAAGATTCCTGAAGAAGGTTTTGTAAACATTGGAGCTTTTTCAGTTTTCACCCAAAACTATATCAAATTTTGTAGAACGGTGTTAGTTCTACAAGTACTTCCAAGGCATCATATTGATAAATAGGACACTAGAAATTGAAATAAAATAAAAACTTTAAATCCACAAAAAAAAAAAGAATGATACAGCTTTTCAAGTCAATTATTCATGCACATTTCATCTCAAACAACCAACAAACAAGATCCATATAATGCAAGGATCATATGTTTT